GTCCCTAACTGGGAAGAGAGGAGGTGCTCGCCCTGGCAGCAGTAAGTGACTGGTGATGAGAGTCATCGTTTCCCACTTTCTCAGAGCCCATCCCTGTCATATTCATGGAATATGACCTATCTGACTGAATCCAGGACAGGAAATGCCAGGAATCTTAGGCAGTAAACTTTGTTAGTAAATCATTACAAAATAAAAATATGCACTGCTCATTGCAACAAAGCACAACAAGTACTTACTCTGATTCATAAAACAAGTTCAAAATTTATCTTTTAACTGGTACAACATTGCAAAACAAATATCCACAGTTTAAGAAACAGAAATGATATTTACAGAACATTGAAAGAATTTTAGCTATGTAATACTTTACTGTTAACTGTAGTCATGGAATAGAACACCAGAATTTATTTATACAAACCACTGATGAAAGAAAATGAAGAGGAATACAAACAAAGGAAAGACATCCAATGCTCATGGATTGGAAAAATTAATACTATTTAAATGACCAAACGATAGATTCAATACAATGTGTATCAAAATATCAATGACATTCTGCACATAAATAGTAAAAACCATTCTAAGATTTGTATGGATCTATAAAAGACCCCAAATAGCCAAAGCAATCCTGAACAAACAGAACAAAACTGGAAGCACAACAGTAACAGACTTCAAACTATACTATGAAGATATAGTAACCAAAACAGAATGGTGCTGGCATAAAAACAGACATACAGAACAATGAATCAGAACAGAGAACCTAGAAATAAATTGATATATCTACAGCCGATCTAAATATATTTTTATTTTTAATTACTACTGATTCAGAATAGTAATATATAATTATGGAGTATATGTGATGTTATGATAAAGGCATACAATGTGAAATGATCAAATCAAGGTAATTGGGGTAACCATCACCTCAAATATTTATGATTTCTTTGCATTGGGAACAATCAAATTACACACTTTCAGTTATTTTAGAATAAATTCTGAAATAAATTATTGTTTACTATAATCACTCTATTGTACTATTCATTGGCTCTTGTTGATTCTATCTAATTAAACTTTTGCAACCATTAATCATCATCACTTTATCCCCCTCCTCCATACCTTTCCTACCCTCTGGAGACCATCAGTCTATTATCTTTTTCTATTGGTTCAATTTTTTTTTAAATTTGGTTCTCACATAAGAGTAAAAACAAGCAAACCCTGTCTTTCTGTGCCTAATACAGTCGACCTATACTTCACAACAGTGCCAAGAACATTCACTGGGAAAAAGACAATATATGTGGTGTTCTTCAATATATGGTGCTGAGAAAACTGGATATTCATATGCAGAAAAATGAAACTAAACACACAATTCTTACATTATACCAAAATCAACTAAAAATGGGTCAAAGATCTAAACTTAATCATTCTTAATTACTCTTGGCACCTTGAAGTACTTGTTGTTGATCTAAAATATACCTGATGTTAAATCATTTCCCTGGGATTCATTTCCCTACAAAAAGCATAAACTTGTTATAGGCCATCCAGGGTGGTATCGGGACTTAAGAATCCCTGATGAGCCCTCTGCTAAATCCCTGTAATAATAAGTTCCCTAAATCGACAGTAAGAGTAACTGGTACGTTAAGTGTCTAAGGTAAGAAAAACAAGACATCTTACAGTTTCCAATTAGATCCACAAAGTCAAGAATCTTTTTTTTGTTTTAGACATTAACAAAAAACTATTTCTTTTCCTTGCCTGATTGCTCTGGCTAGAACTTCCAATACTGTATTGAATAGGAGCGGTGAGAGACAACATCCTTGTCTTGTGCCATATTTCAAAGGGAATGCTTCCAGTTTTTGCCCATTCAGTATGATATTGGCTGTGGGTTTGTCGTAAATAGCTTTTATTATTTTGAGATACGTTCCATCAATACCTAGTTTATTGAGAGTTTTTAGCATAAAGCGCTGTTGAATTTTGTCAAAGGTCTTCTCTGCATCTATTGAGATAATCATGTGGATTTTGTCTTCGGTTTATATATGTGGTGAATTAGGTTTACAGACTTGCGTATGCTGAACCAGCCTTGCATCCCTGGGATGAAGCCAACTTGATCATGATGGATAAGCTTTTTGATGTGCTGATGCAATCAGTTTGCCAGCATTTAATTGAAGATTTTTGCATCTATGTTCATCATGGATATTGGCCTAAAGTATTCTTTTCTTGTTGAGTCTCTGCCGGGTTTTGGTATCAGGATGAGGTTGGTCTCATAAAATGATTTGGGAAGGATTTCCTCTTTTTGGATTGTTTGGAATAGTTTCAGAAGGAGTGGTACCAGCTCCTCTTTGTATGTCTGGTAGAATTCGGCGGTGAACCCACCTGGACCTGGGATTTTTTTGGTTGGTAGGCTCTTAATTGCTGCCTCAACTTCAGCCCTTGTTATTGGTCTATTCAGGGTTTCAACATCTTCCTGGTTTAGGCTTGGAAGGACACAAGTGTCCAGGAATTTATCCATTTTTTCCAGGTTTACTGGTTTATGTGCATAGAGTTGTTTGTACTACTCTCTGATGGTGGTTTGTATTTCTGTGGGATCTGTGGTGATATCCCCTTTATTGCTTTTTATTCCATCTATTTGATTATTCTCTTTTATTTTTTAATAATCTGGCTAGTGATCTGTCTATTTTGTTGATCTTTTCAAAAAACCAGCTCCTGGATTTATTGATTTTTTGAAGGGTTTTTTGTGTCTCTATCTCCTTCAGTTGTATTCAATTAGGAAAGGAGGAAGTCAAATTGTCTCTATTTGCAGATGACATGATTGTATATTTAGAAGACCCCATCGTCTCAGCCCAAAATCTCCTGAAACTGATAAGCAACTTCATCAAAGTTTCAGGATACAAAATCAATGTGCAAAAATCACAAGCATTCTTATACACCAATAACAGACTTAAAGAGAGCCAAATCAAGAATGAACTGCCATTCACAATTGCTACAAAGAGAATAAAATACCTAGGAATACAACTAACAAAGAATGTAAAGGACCTCTTCAAGGAGAACTACAAACCACTGCCCAACGAAATAAGAGAGGACACAAACAGATGGAGAAACATTCCATGCTCATGGTTAGGAAGAATCAGTATCGTGAAAATGGCCATACTGCCCAAAGGAATTTATAGATTGAATGCTATCCCCATCAAGCTACCAATGACCTTCTTCACAGAACTGTTAAAAACCACCTTAAACTTCATATGGAACCAAAAGAGAGCCTGCATAGCCAAGTCAATTCTAAGTAAAATGAACTAAGCTGGAGGCATCACACTACCGGACTTCAAACTATACTACAAGGCTACAGTAATCAAAACAGCATGGTACTGGTACCAAAACAGAGATATAGACCAATGGAATAGAACAAAGGCCTCAGAGGCAACGCCACACATCTACAACAAACCTGACAAAAACAGATCTTTGACAAACCTGACAAAAATAAGCAATGGGGAAAGGATTCCCTGTTTAATAAATGGTGTTGGGAAAACTGGCTAGCCACATGCAGAAAGCAGAAACTCAACCCCTTCCTGACACCTTACACTAAAATTAACTCCAGATGGATTAAAGACTTAAACATAAGACCTAACACCATAAAAACCCTAGAAGAAAACCTAGGCAGTACCATTCAGGACATAGGCATAGGCAAAGACTTCATGACTAAAACATCAAAAGCATTGGCAACAAAAGCCAAAATAGACAAATGGGACCTAATTAAACTCCACAGCTTCCGCACAGCAAAAGAAACAATCATTAGAGTGAATAGGCAACCAACAAAATGGGAAAAAATTTTGGCAATCTACCCATCTGACAAAGGGCTAATATCCAGAATCTACGAAGAACTAAAACAGATTTACAAGAAAGAAACAAGCCCATTCAAAAGTGGGCAAAGGATATGAACAGATACTTTAGAAAAGAAGACACACAGGAGGCCAAAAAACATATGAAAAAATGCTCATCATCACTGGTCATCAGAGAAATGCAAATCAAAACTACACTGAGATACCATCTCATGCCAGTTAGAATGGCAATCATTAAAAAACCTGGAGACCACAGATGCTGGAGAGGATGTGGAGAAATAGGAACACTTCTGCACTGTTGGTGGGAGTGTAAATTTGTTCAACCACTGTGGAAGACAGTGTGGCGATTCCTCAAGGATCTAGAACCAGAAATACTGTTTGACCCACCAATCCCATTACTGTGTATATACCCAAAGGATTATAAATCATTCTACTATAAAGACACATGCACATGAATGCCCTTCCGGAGGAGACACCAGTGTGAAGAGCAGAGCCCTTGCTTTGGAGAGAGTCTTCATGCTCTCATCGTGGTCGGTGTCAGCGGAGCGGGGCTTTCCTGGACCCACAAGCCCACGCCCACGGCCGAAGACGCCCCTGGATCCTGCAGCAGCACGTCCCCCGGAGCCCGGAAGTGAGCCCGGCGCAGGCGCAGAAGATGCTAAGGAGGAGCCACCTGCCGCCCCGGGTCTGCGCTTGGCTCCAGGAGCGGTGACGACAGCGGAAGCTGGGCCGGGGAGCACCAGCGTCCGAGTGGCGGCTTCCACGGCGCCACCTCTGACCTGAGCATCACACCGCCATGGTGGCCACCGGCCCTGTCGCCTGCCTGAAGCAATCCTTGAGCTGGGCCGGACACGCCCCTGCCATGTGGGGCATGGGCTGCATTCTCTTTAAGTACTGCCAGGGTTTCCAGACGTATGACAACCAAAAGCACCCTAGGGCCCATCCCATCACGCATAATGTGCTGTATTTTTTTACAGAAGCAGAAATTTTTCTACAAAGGGGGCCTAATTTGGGATGAGAACATCTCAGACGGCCGGTACGCGAAGAACTGTAAACGTCTGAAGAGTGACAGGCTGGAGCACGTATAGCTGTTTGACCTGATGAGGAGGGTGGTAAAATCGGACCCTGCCCAGCACATCACACTGGCTGAGACTCTTCTGCACCCCTACTTTGCTGGCTTGACCCCTCAGGAATGGTCCTTCCACACAAGCCCCAACCCAAGGAGATGACAGGCACAGGACACCGCATGAGAAAAGCAGGACTGGGCTGCCCAGCCCACTTTGTCCAGCCCCACCACCAGGTCCTAAAGCCAGAACCACCCAATGGACAGTGCAGTGTGAAGGAAGCCAGGAGCCTGCAGGGGGCAGACTTGGTGCCCAGCTGCCAGAAAACAGATTTGACACAAGCTGTTTATATGTTTACAATTGTAAAGTGCATCTTATTGTTTGTTAAAAAATTTAAAAAAACGAATTCTCAATAGAAATATTTATTGTCTTCTTTGAAATAACTTTTAGGATAAATTGCTAGAAGAGTTTGTAAAATATAATCCTATATGTATAAATGAAATCAGACATTTTTTTATGATAGTCTTATTTAATATTGTATAGTTGCTTCTAGCATAGGATGAGTAATTCAATGTTAACACTACTTATATCTGTATATGTGTGTACGTATATATGTGTGTGCATGTGCATATATATGTATATATATATAGAATTTTACTGAACAAAGGTGTTCACAAACCAAGCAAAGAATAGTGGAGATTTCACATGAAATTTGTGAATTTTTGATAAATGATTTTTAGCAATATAATTTTACAAAGTTTTTGAAAATAAACATTATTTTAATAAGCAATGGATGTGTGATTGTATTTTTAAAGATATTCTTATCAAGTCTTACAATTTTAGTATTAGGGAGTAGGACACCTTGGATAATTTTTACTTCCTGTAACTGCTGCACGATTATAACTGGTACCACAGAAGGAAGAATACATTTTTAGAGGTATGTGTTTACAACACGAACACATTATTAACAAGGTTTCTAAAATATTCACTTCTTTCCATATGGACAAGATAGAAGCTTTGATTGTCTTTCTAGAAAACCTATCATGAGTATCCTTCAGGTATTTAATGTAGAAATAGAACACACATTCAGGAATTTTCCTATTTATTTTTCATGCAGAAACTTACTTTTGAGCATATTTTTCATTGCAGCCAGAACATCTTTATTCCTAAAGCTGTAGATGATAGGATTCAGTGAGGGCGTGAGGATCATATAGAATATTGCCAGGAACTTATCCTGGCCTGGAGTGTGGTATGATTTAGGTCTCATATACGTAAAAATAAATGGCCCATAGTACATCATGACCACAATCATGTGTAAAGAACAAGTGGAAAATGACCTTTTCCTTGCCTCTGAGGATTTCATCTGGAGGACAGTAAGAACAATTTGGCCATAAGAAGTAGAGATCAAGGAGAAAGGGATCAGCAGGAAGATCACACCGCTTATGTAAACCCCTCGTTCATAGCGTGTTGTATCTACACAAGACAACTTCAACATGGCAGGGACTTCACAGAAAAAGTGATCGATTGCCCGAGAGCCACAGAAGGGAAACTGCAGTGTGTAAGCTGTGTGGACTGTGGAGTTCAAAGCCCCAACAAGCCAGGAGCCTCCAGCCATGAGAGCACTGGCACACTCCTTCATAAGAATCGGATAGCGCAGCGGGTGACAGATGGCCACATAGCGATCATAGGACATTGCAGCCAGGAGAAGGCACTCACCACCCAGGAGGGTGAGGGACAGAAACACCTGGAACCCACAACCTGCAAGTGAAATCGTTCTGCTGCCTGACAGAAAGTCAGTGACCATTTTGGGAACGATGTTGGAAACATGCAAGATATCCATAACAGAGAGATGGCGAAGCAGAAAATACATTGGCGTATGGAGTCGTGAGTCACTGTGAATAAGGAGAATCATTAGGGCATTTTCTGTTACACTCATAATGAAAATGACAAATATAAGTGAGTAGAAGACCAGACTTTTTGGGGAAGAAGAGAATAGTCCCAAAAGTGTGAAATCGCTGCTGAAAGTGTGATTCAGACAGCCCATCATGAATTCTCTATTTTTTTTACCTAAAAAGAAATAACAGAGGAAAAAATACCGTAAATCTTAATCTAATAATAATATGCCTGCATAACAAAATGAGAGTGAGTGATGCCTGTTTTGTGATCAACATGAAAGGACTCTTAGCCAGTCCTTGGAGTGGGCATGTTTTACAAGATGGACATTTATTTGTTCAGACCATTTTATTCAAACTTAAGTAGTTTTAAGATGGAAACTAATTTTTGAATGTTTGTTATTTGTTTTGTTGATTATAAAATTTATTGAAGGAAAGAAACCTGGACTGATAGAATCATAAATTTTATAATTTACATTTTAATATTTGCATGTGTATATATATGTATTTATGCTGAGGGAAATGTACATACAGGAGGAACACAAATAACTATATTGTAACAATTTAAAAACCACTATCAAAATATAAATAATGTAAACACCTACTATTCTGCACATAGAATTAATAAATTATAAATTATAAATTTATAATTAGGGCTGCCTTTTAATTTTCTTTTGTTATTTTTCAGACAGAGTCTTGCTCTGTTGCCCAGGCTGGAGTGTGGAGGTGTGATCTCAGCTCACTGCCACGTCAGGCTCCTGAGGTGAAGCAATTCTCAAGCCGCAGCCTCTGAGTAGCTGGGACTACAGGCACCACTACCACATCCAGCCAAGTTAGTAGAGATCGGGTTTCACCATGTTGGTAGGCTGGTCTCAAACTCCTGACTACAAGTGATCCACCCATCTTGTCTTCCCAAAGTTCTGTGATTACAGGTGTGAGCCACCATGCCCAGCCAGTCCTTCCTGTTTTGATGCATGGCTTTGTAAAATTTGATGATATGCATAGATTCAGACATAAGGGCAGTGGTGCCTTGCATGAGCTGATCATAAATAATTTTACAAAATCAATAAATATTGCTGGCAACTCAAAATCAACATACCTGTATCCAAAGTTCTTAACTTTCCCCACTCCCTGGAGCCATATCATTCTTCTGGCTTTACTTGTTTAATTAATGATTTATTTATTATCATAGTTCCATGTCTTACTGCATCATCAATTCTTACATGACTTCCTCACTCATTTTAGGTATCATTAATTCCTTTTTACAAGAATGATTTAAATTTTTTAGTGATCTTTGAGTAAAAACATTTTCAGCTAAACATAAATTCTCCTTCTCTGTATTTCATATGGGCTTTTACATTTTTTAGAGCTCATACCACCTACACAGTAATACCTGTATTTTTTCTTCATAAATCGGAAGAAATCCACAGTTTATTTATTATCTGCCTCATTCATCTTACTTCCAAGACTTATGACAACTATCATGAGGCACCTGAAATTTCTGCAACTTTTTTTTCCATGTCTCTTGGCCTAACCAGTCAATCAGGGCTCTGAAATATACTCCCATGATGATGGAATGATTAAAGAAAGCATATCTTCTATGTTGCTCAGGAGTATTCCAATTTTGGGTGAAATTTGCCATTGTATACAAAGAGGAATGCTCTATTACTGAGCTCTATTACAAACATTCTTAATTCCATGTTTGAAAGTGGAGAAAACACATATCACCTATCCTGTAGCTTTTTCCCCACACATGCAACCCTTTGCCAAGCTAAAGTTCATTTCTCACCCATCTAGCTCCAAGTATTCATTGTTAATAATGCTAAATGTAGGCAAAAAATATAAAATACACTCTACATCCATCTCTTTTCTATAAGCTTGGAGATTAATCAGAGAACATGCTCTTCTCAGGATTTTGTTTTAACTTTTTCAGTTTTTTGGATCTGTAATTTTCAGGAAATTCTTATGTTTTCCAAATCTGTTCACATCTTTACATATACTTAAAGTTTTATCATTTGGAAGAAGCAGTCAGACAGTCCAGTCTAAAATTTAACCAGTGGTCATTATACTTCACATAAACTGAGCATGAGAGAGCCACTTTGATTTGAGGAAACACAGGTCATGATTATGGAGAAAGAAAAAGTGACACCAGCATAAATCGTGTATGTAATTTCATACTAAGTTTAATACAAACAAAAGAATAGGCCACAGTTTTTACCAGATGCATCATACTTCTTTCAAATGATAAGTGTATGTGATTAAATGTCTGTGTGTGGGTATAAGTGTGGGTATGTGTGTGTGAGACCTTACCACATCTAAAAATGTCTTCATTTTACAACAATAATTTCAGCTCCTTAAATTATTTAGCCAATTATTCAAATAGTTTGTACGTGTAGCTAAATTGTTTAATTTTGTCAGTGGAATCACTTCAGAGTCATAATATGTTTATTCCCATTAGTGAATTAAACTGTTCCTTTCTGGTTACTGTGAAAATGTTCCCTTGAATTTACCCCTGCTTGAAAATTACTTTCTATGTATAGACACCGTCATATCCCAGTCTCCTTTGTACTCGTCACTCATTGACTCACTACACTCATATCTTTTTGAGCATTTTATATTTATGAAGTTTGGTAAAACACACTACATATTCATTAATTTAGACTTAGTTCAACTAAAATATACTGTTGCCAGATCTCTCATTATACTGATAAAGCATACAACATGTTTCTTTAAATTTTTATTTACTTAGAGGTCAATTGTTCACTAATATTGATATGATTTTACAGTCAAATGTTAAGCAGTTATTTACTCCTACATTATTTCTTTACGTTAAATGTCTGACTGCAAGACAAACACTAGACAAAGAACAAATCATTGAATCTACTTTGTCTGAAAAACACTTATCTTGAAAAGTATATGAAATGGAACTTCTAGTGAATATTAAGTATGTTTGCATATTTATATGTTACACTGTATGAGAATGATATTTTTATCTTTTCAACTTCCTATAAACCCATAATATGAATGTCCTACTTGCTATTATAACTATAAGCTTTATCATAAAAGCTTCAAATATCAGACTTGATGAATTAATGACTGACTAATAAAAAAGTGGTCACTGATAATTCACTGAACTACAGTGGAATCTCATAGGAGAGGCAAAAGTCAAATACTAAATTAACCTAAATATGGATGAAATTTAACTATCACTTTATCTAGAGCAGATACAGGTATAATACAAATATAATGGTTGTCACCTAGCCCAGGAATTGGTATGCTATTGGCTCAAATATTTTATTAATAAAATAGCAATATTATCAATTTCCTAGTGCTTTGAAACAGATAAACAAGAAAATGTAATGCAAATATAATATCCTGAAAATATTTTATTTTCTGTCTTACTTACATGAAACACCAAATATGAAATTATATATGAAATAAATATCCATTAAATTATATCTGAAATGAGTTTCTGTTCAATGAAGATCATGACAATACCTGCCTGATAGTTGTTTTGATATTAGACATTAAATAAGACTCATTAAATACCCCCACCATACACACACACACACACACACAAACACACACGCACAGATGCAGATACAAAATCAATGTTTGAGGTTATTAATATGCTCATTACCCTGATGTGATCATTACATTGTATGTGTCCAAATATCACTCAGTATCCCATAAACATGTACAAGTATTATGTGACAATCAATTTTTTAATTCTTGTTTTGTGTTTAAGTCCCGACTTACCAGGTCTGAGGACAAAACTGAATTCTCTCTTATTATGCACTTAATAACTCTTAGTGATGGCGTTAGAAAAAAAGAAAACTATTTTCTTATTATAATAGGGGTGATTAAAACAAAAACTGAGGTGATTTCAAGAAATTAGGGAAATGAATTTTGGGTGGTACTTAGCAAGTTATTTGTTAATTCTGCTACCTCTTATACAATAGAACGCACGGCAAAGGCCAGCAAATATGAGATGAACCAAGCTAGAGTTAGCAGAAATGAGAAGATAAGCTTTGCTGATCAAAGATTTCTCTGTCTGAAACATGAAATCGACATCACCCAAGTCTCATATTTAGAAGGCTTGCAGGACTGAAAACATCCACTGTGGTTGTATTGAAACAAAGGCAGCTGTAAGTAGCAGATGGGGAGTGTCAGCCTGACAAGGAAATGACTCCAGGGCTCAAACCTCATCAAGCACTTTCCCTTGAGAATGCTGCAAAAAACAGTGGGTACCTTGCTTGTCACAAAGAATCAAGCTAAGTTTGTTCCCACTGAAGTCTATTGTTGAAACTATTCTCAATGTAGTCACATTTAACTCATGTTGGGAGCAATGAAGACATTAAAAACTCTATCTTAGCAGTAGATTTTGGCTGATACTGATTTCAAATTGAAATGAATAGATGCCAACTGTTTCTGAAGCACCCGCACTGCCAAAGGAAACCTAAGTCTGGTTGGCACCACTCTGTGTGTGTGTATTGTAGAACTGTAAGAATCTCCTAGACCATTGAGATTGTAGTAGCAGGAATTTGGCCACAAATTGTATACATCATTGTAGAATCTCTAATTTCCCCTACAGATGAAAAAAGCAATAGGATTATGCGCAGGGAAAGAAAATTTAATGCCAAAGGCAATGTCAAGGTTAAAAGAGCACATTGGACAAACAGTCTTTTCAGAGGCCAAATTCAGGGGTATATGACAAGTTAACCGACATGATTCTCAAATGGCAGCAGAGAAACTCTCTACCATTCCTGTCCATCAAAGATTTTCGGATTACTGTTTGTTTATGTAGTGTATTTCAACGGCATGTACAACAATTTAGTCAATTATTATCTTGCTTATTACATGTATATTACCTTTCAGTTTTTAATAGTAAAAGTAATGTAATAAGTAACATTGAGTTTCCAACTTTTTATAGTATAATCGAAACTAAAATTCTATGTTAAAGATAAGTTTATATTTCTCTTATTTCTAATAGTTTCAAATGGTGTTTTATTTATCTAAATAAAACTGCACTATTAAATTTGCTTTATTGAATACACTTGTAAAAATCAAACCTATTACAAGCATCTCTTATAGTTTTGTTAAAATTCACTTTACTACATCATGTGTGTATGTAGATTATTTTAGAATGTTATGCTATTTGTGATCAGAATTTACAGCAGAAATATACTGATGAGAAAGAATCATTGAAGAAGGCAAGTAAGTCGATCTGGGAATAGAAAAACTAGTACAGCAGTCTGTAACAATCATTTGCTACCCTTAACATATCTATTAGGTTTCATATTGGGGGAAATCTTCAATCTACTATAATTCCAGTATGTTTTCTCAAAATATTTAGCACCTGCTCATAGAGGATAGAAACACAAATAACAATTGAGTTAATTCCCTGCCTCAAATTTTCCCATATATAAATACATTTCAGTCCTAATACTAGATTCTTCTTTCTGGAACCACTGTTTTGAGTCTGCAGACATTCTGCTGGGTCACATTCTCTTAAATTAAAAAATTTATAAAATTTACCTACGTTTAGTTTACATTTCCGGTGATTCTGAAGTATTTATATTTACATAAATTGAGCCATCTTGCATCTTTTTCATAATTTGGGTTCCTCCTTGCACATAACACTCTTCCTTAGCACTTCTAAGGGCTTCAATTTCTTCCATTCTCCGAAGATTTTACATGTAAATATTCCCTCTATGGAGACTTCCTTGTTCTTTTAAAGAGGATGACTCTCCCCGCCTCAGCACCTGCTCTGTCAGAACTTCACATTTAATCTACAGTTTAGCTGCTCATGTTTTGGGGGACTGTCTTCTCCTTCCTGATG